CATAAATGGAGTGAAGATGTACACTGTCGCCGGCCAACACCGTTCTGTGGCAACATGGCTTCCCCCTAAGAAGCTCAGGGCCCTTCGTAAAGATCCAAGTACGCATTACCCTCCTGCTTTCACTTACTTTCTTTCCTTTTGGGATATTATTTGGTAAAATATAGCAGCATCATAGTGTCTGGAAAAAGGAAGTTTCAATATTTGAAGTATAAAAGAAGAAATTCTGGAATTGTACCAAGATTGTTTTTCAATTGGGTAGTAATCTATATGTCTGGGGTTTTTGGATACTTGGTCTTTATATCATAATGCTCATCTGTGATGGTTGATTCATACTTTTTTACTTCTTTTTCTTTCGAACAATATGCAAAGGTTAGATTTACTTTGATATTAATATTTGGTAAAATCATGTTGTATCAAAACTTTTGAAAATAGAAAGTTTTCAATTGTTGTAGTAAAAAATAGTGTTCAATGTCGGACCAACATTATTTTGTTGATAACAATCTTTACGGAGTTCGGTATGGGTAAAACCCAATTTGCATAGCTTGTGTAATTCGGGCCGGCTATCCGAATCCTCTCTATCCATGTTACTCTATTTATACATATTTGATATTGTAGGATATTATGGTTATGTTATTAAAGATATTTTTCTCTATTTTGGCAGGTTATATGCAAAGAGTGGATCTGATTCAGGATTTGAGATTTGAAACTGCAACGACAAGAATTAAAGTGACTCCTGACGGGGAGTATCTCATTGCGTCAGGTGATTATGTACAGTTCAAGATATCCTTTTTTCTTTTTTGTTTCCTTAAAATATTATTCTTTTGTTAAATGATCTTTTTCTAGGTTATTGAGAAGTAACTACTTCTGAGTTACAGATTAAAGGCGTCACTGTGCTGTTTTACTGTTAAAACATGATGCTCATGCATATTTATCCCTCTGTATTATATATATATATATACATATATACATACAGTTATTTCTATATAAACTCAATATTTGACTATTGTTTTTAGATTTAGAACAGGTTGGGTTATAAATATATTGGTTCATTTTATTAGTTGTTAAAATGAAGCATTGATATTCATCTTATTTCCTGTGTTGGTCTAGACTTCATGTTTAACCTGAACAATAATTATCTCATATAAAAAATATCCTACACAGGGAAGTAACCAATTACTGTTTTCTTACCGTTCTGTCCCTCTGTTCTTCTGATACATGTATTAGATGAGTACAACAGATTTAACATATGTTACCTTCTCAAAAAAAGGAAAGAAAGAAAGATGAGTACAACAGCAACAACTATGCCTCGACACCAAGATAGGGTCAATTATATAAATCCTCACTGTTCATGTCGCTCCATTTAGGCCTGTGTCATTCAATAAGTTAGGTTCTCCGACACCAGAAGTTCTCTATATTTTATGCTGGCACCTGGCAATCAGATCTCTAACAAACTAAAAGACCCCTAGTGAACATGTATTAAATGAGTACATTCTTTTTGCTGCTTGGTATTTCAGCTATTTTGTATCAGTTGTCAACATTGATTTTTCAGGTATTTACCCACCACAAGTTAAAGTTTATGAGCTGCGGGAGCTTTCATTGAAGTTCGAAAGGCATTTGGTGTCAGAGATCGTTAACTTTCAGGTACTGACAGCTTTTCCTCTCTTTCTCTGTGAAGGCTGCATGTTTCACCCAAAATAACGAAGTAGATTCTTATTAGTATTGCTTCTTTTTATGACCACTGCTTATGCTCATTTTTTTTTTTTGCGAAAATTATTTGTGCTGCGATAGTAAATGTTTAATGCCTGTTCCCTGTTTGTTTTTTCTTTGTAGAGACCAGAAGCATGGAAATATGTTCTGTTGCATTTTTCTTCTCTAATTAATCTGGGAAATCTTACTGATGTATATTCCGTCTCTGATATCTTTTGTAGGTCTTGAGTGATGACTACTCAAAAATGGCATTTCTTTGTGCTGATCGTTCTGTCTGCCTCCATGCAAAATATGGAAGTCATTACAGTTTGCGAATTCCAAGGTTGCACTTATTTCGTTTGTTTTATTCTTATGTGCTTATCCATTTGTTGTCTGCTAAGTTATACTGATGAAATGCAAAATTTAGAAAACAATGCATGTTAAGTATTAAGAATGTCAACATAACTTTGAGCTGCACGAAGCTATTTCTTTTCCTCTAGCATGCTTACACTTGCATAGTGGCAACAGATGGAGCCCAACCTGTCTCACTTGAAAGCTTAGATACCACTGGACTGAATGAGAGAATAAATATAATCTATGTATGTATCTGTAATAATTTTACCAAAGAAAGAAAGGTCTTCAGTGGTTGAATGCCATAAAAAAATGCAACCCTTCAGAAAAAATAGTTAATCCTGAAACCTCTCATTTATACTGCTAGGTTTTGGAAGAAAGTTCACTCCTGCTGGTGAGATATCAGAGTCTCAGAGAATTCCTGTAGTGCATTCCTTCCCGTTCAATGTCCGATCCTGGTTACCATGACTTGCCTTCAAAGGGGGTTCCCTAGGCATTTCATGGCCCTTTGCTTCTCTTTTTCTTGGTTCAATATTTCTTTAATACTTCTGGCTTTTATCTACACATAATTCGGCAGCAGCAAAGATTCAGTAGTTTGCCAGTTTATAGTTTCATACCATATGATAGTCACTACTTTTTTTTGTTTTTTTTGTTTTTTTTGTTTTTTTTGGAGAAGGTAACATTTAGCAGTATATTGATAAAGTTTTAGCACAAAGCTTGTGCTGGAAGCCAAAAGGGTGATTACAAAAACCAAAAAGCTCAAAATTACAATCCTTGCTCTTCTTACAAGGGATCTACGACTTGTAGAATTGATTCTAGATTACCAAAAGCAAAAGAGAAGAATACAATTCATTGAATAGCCTATATGGCCAAGCTTCGAAAATCAACTTATTTTGAGAAGTACTTTTTCTCAAAAGTACTTTTGGTGAGAAACGGTTTGGGTTTGGCTAATTAATTTGAAAAGCACATCTGAGCAGTAATTAGTATTTGACCAAGCTTTTAAAGAGTTCTTCTAAATGTAGTTTTCTCAAAAGCGGTTTTCAAAAAAGCGCTTTTGGTGAGAAGCTACTTTTTTCTGTTTCTCCAAAACTGCTTCTGCTTCTACTCAAAGCACTTTTTTTTTCTTCCAAAAGCATCGCCAAACGCTTCAACTTTGAAAAAAGTGCTTTGTTTGAAAAATATGTGCTTTGGCTTAAGAGAAGCTTGGCCAAGCAAGCTATTAATCTTCTAAATATGGCTGACTGTATCCTCAAAGCATCTTGAATTTTTCTCCTTCCAAATTGTCCGCCAAATAGTTGCGGGGACAAATTTCATCCGTCTTTGTTGGTAGCACTACAATTTTCCCCTTCATTCCAGCATGACAAAAGTTCAGAAGTTCTTTGTGGCATTGTCCACCAAATACCCCTGAGGTTGATGGACAAATGCCACAGCTGACTAGTGACCCTACAATGTAGAAACAGATGGATGATTGTCTCTGCCTCTTGACCACAAAAGTAGCACCTTGAACAAATTGGTATTTCCCTTTTTCTCAGTTTATCCCGTGTTAGAGCAGCTTCTCTAACTACCGGCCAGTAAAGCATGCCACTTTGTATGTCACTACTTGTTTCATGATCTATATTTAAGTATAAACTTTCATATAAACTAGTATCCTTATCTAAAACTCTATACGTTAATGTATTGGATACCTTGGTCGAATCCCAAAGCCTATAAACTACCCCTTTTATACAAACCCTAAAGCCTATATAGGCAGAGAATGAATGCACATTACTCAGCCAACTCTTTGTGAGGTCACAAATTAGATAAGTTAATGCTTCAACATTTCCTTTCTTAGAGATCAGATGAAAATTTATTAGGCTTAGAATGAATTAAACTAGTCATTGTTAAAGCTGAATGTGAACGCCAAGGAGAGCATTTAGGTGCACTTATCAGTTGAAGAGGAAAGGATGTTTAGCTCGCATTTCCTTTCTTTGAGATCAGGCTTAGAATGAATTAAACTAGTCATTGTTAAAGCTGAATGTGAACGCCAAGGAGCTTGCATTTAGGTGCACTTATCAGTTTTGCCTTAAGAGGAAAGGACGTTGTTTAGCTCCATGCATCCTGGGTATCTCCTGGAAGATCTGATATGCTTCAGTCAGCGGATCTCAAAATTTACGAAAGGCAAATTTCTGGGTGGTCTACTCTAATTTATGTTCCATTATCTGGTCAACATTCCTGCATCGTCATGATACTTTACTTCAGTAGCAACTCAGACATCTTAGCAGCATATTTTGCTGGCATGATATCTACATTTCGTCTTGCTGGATTTCTTTGATTTTGCTCAACTATCTGTCAGTCTGTCACTTCCATCTTGGAGCTAATCCCCAACGCTTTTGCTCTTCCTCTCTGCTTCTGAAATTTACTGTTACTTTTCTGTATGAACTGTATCGTCTTTAAATGCCAGCTTAACATCACTTATATGTTCTCCTGTTTATTTAGGATGGGAAGGGATATTGTATATGATTGCTGGTCTTGTGATTTGCTTTGCGCTGCCTCGTCACCAGATCTCTACAGAATAAATTTGGAGCAGGTTTTCCTCCTTAGTTTTATTGTTTGACCCGTTCATGTGTTTGTATAAGTTAATTTTTTTAAACAAAAAGTGGCAAATTTTGCAGTAGAATTACCCTTTTTTTTTTCAAAATGCTGAACTGAACTTGTGATTGCACCTGTTTCTCTACAATAGTTAAGTAATATGTGCACCTATATTGAAGTTGACTATTTCTTTATGTCTGTCAGTAAATACAAGATTTTCTTCTCATTTCCAACTTCTCTCCATTGGTAGATGACATCATCAATGGTTGGGTTGTTTTCTTCTGTATGATTGTCTCAGTAACTTAATTTTGTCTGAAGGCTCTTCTGGATGAGCTTGAATTTACATAAGGGTATTTTATTTAGAGTCGTTGTAAGGGTCTATCTTCCATTACAACTTTTGATAGATCATAGGCTTCAAGATGAAACTTCATTTTCATATACCAAATTTGATAGTTTTCACCCGTGAAGGTTTGTGGGAGATTCAAAGAGAGACTACTGCTTGCCATGTTTGAAAATAAGGATAAACATAGATATGCTAAAATCGATTTTACAAGTCACCTTTTTTTTTGTGAGCTCATAGATCCTGTAAGACCTGTTGACGCTCTGATACCGCTAGTAAGAAGGTTAGTATTATTATTGAAAATTTATCGCCTTAAATTTTATTAACCATAGGGCTCTAAATAGCCACTTGAAAACAAGAAAATCTGCAAAAGATCTGCAGAACAAATATTCAAAACCTAAAATATCTCAACCTCCTAAAATATCTAACAAAAATTTAAAATTTTAAAAAGTAGTAGACTACTCCTAATGAAACAACTAATTATTTTAGCAAACCAGTAGCAACAGATGCAATACTCAACAACACCGCTTGAATTATTAAAAATTTTTCTGTTGTGAGCGCACCACATCCATTAATGCTTTTGCCAACATTCTGATGAACAAACACTCAGACTTAGAAATAAATATCTGGAAAGGTCTTCTGCTAGCTATACACTTTCCGTGTTATCTAGTGTTCAGGTGATTTGGATTGGGCTGTTATAGATCAATATATTGTTGACCGAAAAGTTACGATAGGCCAAAAAAAAAAAAGAGGCAAAGGCTAAGCTGTTTCGGAGAAGCAACTTATAGGAAGGGAAGAGAAGAGAAGGGTAAGAAAAGAATAGTAAATGTGCTGTTAAAATTCACCTAGATTTCCATGGCATTGATCCCAAGGATAAATGGAGCTTTAGAGTGTTAAATCATAATCTGCTGCATTTTCAAAGAAAAATAGATCAGATATGTGCAGAATCCTAACTTGTACAGCCTAAAAGTTGGATGTCAAATTTCAGCTTATTCTAATTGAAGTTTTCCCCCTTATAGCGTTGATGTTTGCTTGTGTAGTTTACTGAGACTATCATATTCTATTAACAGGGACGCTTCCTTTCCTCGCTNGAAAGATCAGATATGTGCAGAATCCTAACTTGTACTGCCTAAAAGCTGGATGTCGAATTTCACCCTATTCTAATTGAAGTTTCCCCCCTTATAGCGTTGATGTTTGCTTGTGTAGTTTACTGAGACTATCATATTCTATTAACAGGGACGCTTCCTTTCCTCACTGAGCACACGATCCCCGGCACTTAATGTGGTTTCGCGGAGGTTAGAAGTTGATTTTTGCTTTGCTCACCTTTTAAACCCATGTTTCTTTTTTTCTTTAAAATTTTCTTTTTGGCTTTTTTAGTTTTTCTATACCTTCTGTTTGACAGTTTCTTCTGTGATCTTTTGGTTTCTTTTCTTCTGCACTTTAGCAAGGTCCATGGATTAGTTGCTTGTGGAGGGGAGGACGGTGCTCTTGAATGCTTTGACATGAGAGCAAGATCTTCAGTTGGCAGGATAAATGCTGTTGCACCTGCTGGGAATGGGGACCAGGTAGTTTTCTGCTAAAGTAGTTGAAAAAACCAGATCTTTTTTTAATGGTTGCTAATGATATGCATAAACTACAGGAGGTTACTGCAATAGAGTTCGACGGAGATGGAGGTTACCTCATGGCTGTTGGAAGTAGTGATGGAAAGGTATAATAGAAGGAAATGCAGTTTTTAAAGAGGTTTTGATAAACTTTCTGATGATCATGGTGAATGTTGAGTCTGAAGTTTTGGTTGGAAAAATCATTTATGATTGTCATTTCGGGTGTTTAGTCTTTTTTCTTATTTTGCTTGAAACTAGATAAAGTGCACCTAAACTTTCTTGTTACTATTAATAAATGTAGGAGGTGGAAAATTAACATGCATATTGATTATGAAAATTCTTACTCTGTCCTAACATTTTAGCATCACCAAATTGGATGTTTATTAAGAGGACTTATACAACAGGCAGCTAATGTAGTATGAAGAATATATTTTAACCTATGTAGTACGAAAATTGACTTGAAACTAAGTAGGAAAGAGTATTTTAAAAATCCTTACACCAACTATATATAAAACATATCATACTTAAAAACATATCATAGTAAGGGTGTGTTTAGTATGAAGGAAAATGTTTTAGAAAATATTTTCCTGGAAAACAAGTTATTTTCTTACTTATTTTCTGATATTTGAATAGTAAGGAGAAAATATTGTCCTAAGAGCATTTTAATATAATTTAGGCAACCACTATAACCCCGGACCCTAGACCTCGGCACTGACCCCCGACCCCAACCTTGACTCCGCCCTCGACACCCCGGCCCTGACCCACACCTGGCCCTCGACCTCCGTGTTTTGTGTCGCGAAAGTTTGGGTCGGGCAGTTGAGGGGTGGCGGGGGCGGAGGGAAGGGGTGGGATGATGGGGGGAAGGGGAGCCAATGGTGGGTTAGTGGTGGTGGAGGGGTTGCTAGGGAGGCGGAGGTAACAGGATGTGGGTTTGGAGGGCGGGAGAGGGGTGGGGGTGGATCAAGGGTGACTGGAGTGAGGTCGGGGTGTAAGGTGGTAGGTCAGGGTCTGGGGACCTAGGTGGCGAGGGTGTGATTGGGGGATGGCAGTAAGTGTGAGGAAGGTTGAAAGAGAGTTCTGAAAAATGTTTTTCCCCTTCTTTGTGGGAAAAATTGGAGGAAAATGAGTTTTTTGATGAAGATGAGTTCATTAGGAAACCATTTTCCATAACATTTAAGCCAACCAAACATGGGAGAATTGGAAAACATTCTTCATGCTAGACACACCCTAAATTTACGACTTTGCCCTCAACAACTTACCAAAAAGAGGTATCACAATATTAGCTACGGGATGCCCCACAAAGTTGGCTTACTGATGTGTCCTTGAAGTATAAGAAATTATTAACTTGAATAGTTGTACACCTCTGGAAGGGAATGAAGAGAGAGAGGTTTTTAAAATTTCTGTTCTGTCTTTTGATTCATGTAGAAACGGAGAATAGAAAAAGGCAAAGAAGTTATGTTTTTATTAAGCCCATTCCAATTAGAGTCTTGCTTGGTCATCGTCATTCGAGTTGGCTAAAGGAAGCTAAATTTTCTTGGGGGTGAAATTCTTGTCATTTTGAGGGCATCAGAAATAGTTATTGAAGAATAAATTATTATCTTTGAGTAAAAAACAGTTATCTTGTTAGCAAACATATATTTACATTGTGGAGGCTACTGCGAAGTTTTATTTTTATTGTGTATAATGTTGGGCTGAAATGATTTTAAATGGAGAAACATGGTTAGTGAGGGTTCGTATAGCCGGAGCTAACTTGTTTACGACTGAGGTGTAATTGTTGTGTCTTATGTGATCAAGATGTCTAACAATACCTTGTAATGTGCAGGTTCTGATTTACGATTTACGATCTTCTCAGCCTATGCGGATAAAGGATCATATGTAAGTTGCTTTGCCAGCTTATAATGGTAAAGTAATTCTTGTTCTCTATTGCTTATGCATTCTGACACTTATATAGGTATGGGAGCCCGATACTGAACATTAAGTGGCATAAAACGCTTAACACTGAACGAACAAAGTTAATAACTGCTGACAGCCACATTGTTAGGATTTGGGACCCTGAGACGGTAAGCAAGTCTTTGATCCTCCTTGTTGATATTTGTCGTTTGTATTAGTAATTCTGTAGTTTAGACAAGATCATTTCAGTTTATTGTATTTATATGCTGGACAATAGAGGGCAGTACTCAATGATTGATTTTGGCCTTTGTTTTTTCTGCTGCCTTTGCTATATGTGAAGTTATTAATGAATTGATTCAGCAAAATAATCAAGGCGTACTTTGGCGGTCTGGTAAGAAGTTAATATTCAGGTGCAAGGGTGTCTTACAGATTTCAAAAAGAAAAAGAATTAGAAGGCAAGGGAACAAGGAAAGAAAGAAAATGGGAAGGATATGACAAGGAGTGAAACTTTTTATGAAAATGTTATATAATTTAGCTTATTGATTATCAGTTATTCTAATCTGCAAAATCTGTCAAACTTCAAGTTTCCCTTAAATGGTCCTACTTATTCTGACAGGACATTTTTCTTTTTGATTATTTTGTGGGATAATACTGGGTATGTTGTTGTTGTTCTTCTTCTTGTGGGCAAGTGGCCCTCCTTTGATGTAGTCAGGGCGTATCTATGTGTTGGAGCTTGGGCACATGAACCCATGCTACTCTCTCTATATCATGTATAATAATGTTATATTTCTTCATCATAAAAAATAATGTTATATTTCTTAAAAGTTGCTTAAATATACATGTGTGCACCCAAGCTCAAAGAGTCATATGGTTCAATAATTATTGGGTGCACCTTTACAAGTGAAGTTAGATGTTCAATTCTTAGTTTGTAGACATGTCTAGTGTCTCCTCTTATGTTTTAATTAAGTAGTTTTTTCTTTTTTTCTTTGGTTTATTCATTCAAAATTCCCAAATCAAACGCATTGAAATCCTTGATCTCCCTTTGTCATTGCAAAATTTTATATAATTAAAACTAATAGCAATGGATGATGTAGCATGGTTCAATGATCTCAACATTCTTGATATGGAGTATGTATGTGTGTGTGTGTATGTTAAAAATCACTAAAATTATGAGAAATTTTTTATTTAACCTATAATTTTTAAATGGTATTGGATTCATGGCGAGAACCTAAAGGTTGAATCAATCAAATATAAATTCTAGATTTACCTCTTTATAGTAGTGTACCCATCTTCTTGGAATCCTGGATTCGCCTTTGGTCATGTAGTAGAAGTTTGGAGCAGTCCTTAGAGCTCATATTTCTTCATATCTAAGCTATGAATTGGGTCGATATGATTTTTGGATGTTTAATGATTTAGGAATTGTTTAACTTTAACAATAAAAAATGACCTAGGGATTGTTTAAGTGCTATGTAACTTGAAAAGACATTGGTAATATAACTTTTGTGCTGCGATAATAGTGAAGCAATAGAGAAAAGGAAGGTACAGCATAGGAATTACTGCTAGATCTCTTAGGCATCATCACAATAAAACTATGTTTAGTAGATATTATGGTGGTTGTTGTTTTAGATTAACAGCAGGTTTACATCGTGACAAAAACACGAACTATATAGAATCGCAACCGTTTGCCACCATGAAATCAAGGTTGGCTTGTCTCTGTTTTTGTCCTTCTTGGACCCGCGTTAGTATATCATACAATTAATATTTATGATTATCTGCAATAGTCTTACGATAATGTTCATGTACGAGGCGGTATAACACTAATTAGACATCACCAAGAGTTGCTTATATTTCTACACTTACGTTTAATCTAAGTTTCACATTTGGCATTGAACTCTTACAGGGAGAAGGCATGACAAGCATTGAACCAACGGGTGGGAGAATCAACGATTTGTGTGCATTCACTGACAGTGGATTGATGTTGTTGGCTCTTGACTCCAGTCAAATACCTTCGTATTTCATTCCTTCACTGGGGCCTGCGCCCAAGTGGTGTTCTTACCTTGAAAACCTGACGGTGTGATGTGCTTCTTGTTTTGTTACCTTGTCATGCCAGAGACGATGGTTATTCTGATTTGATATTTCTTTGCAGGAAGAGCTTGAGGAGCAACCCCAGACAACTATTTATGATGATTTTAAATTTTTGACGAAAGAAGATTTGGAAAAATTGAATTTGACCCATTTGATTGGAACCAGCCTTCTAAGGGCTTATATGCATGGTTACTTCATCGATTATCGTTTGTATAAAAAGGTGACAATCAGAATAAATTTGTATACTAACTTTAAATGATTGGCCTTGTGATCAAACTTATGTGCATGTTGATGCTTTGCTCTTGCAGGCACAAGCCTTTTCAGATCCATTTGATTATGTTGCTTACAAAGAGCGGCGGAACCAGGAAAAACAAGCGGCAGAGCGTGCCGGTCGTATCACGGTTAGTTTCATAATGTCTGGGATTGACTTTTTGCAAGTGTACACATGTCTCATATCTTTTTCTATGCACGGACACACTAGCATCAAGTGGAAGACGTTTTCGTGTCCCTTATTTCAATTTAGTATTTGACCTTTGGGTATTTTGCTTTCCATAGATTTTTCAGTAATAACAATAGATTACAATGGATGTATAAGAACCATGTTATTTGTACCAGCAATTCAACATAAAAAGCTAAACTTCATGTGTGTGCCTACATGTGTATATATTGATGGTCTAGCCACATTGCATCTTTAACCTGTTTGATTTTCCTTGCAAATCGATATTTTTATGTTGCGGGCCATATTTCTTACGGGAGGAAGTGATAAATCAGTGAGTCCATCATGAGGAGACTTTTGGTGCGTGGTAAAATAGCCTTGTAGCAACATTGGCTTTTAAAAGGAAAAATATGGTTAGGCACACGTCACAAGTTCGAAACTTGACTGGGAACCAAATCCAGTATTTAAGTGGAAAATGGTAGATGGCGGGCCATTATCCCCGAGTGTGGAAGCTGAAACAGCTAATTTTTGGTCAACAAAAGAAAGGCAAAAAACTTTGGAGGCCTTGGCTTAGTGTGTTTTTCGCTGACTCCTGCTTCCACTTACTCTTATTCCGAGCGTCCCAATCCCCCAAATTGAAAAAGGGAAGGGAATACAAAGAAAACCTTGAATTTGGAGGATTCTGATGCTTGCGTTTTTTTTAATCCTTTAGCGTATATTGTAGACTGAACATTCTCCTTTTTCAAGTATGGTTGATTGTTCAGCTCGTTTTGAGTTGAAATGGTATGGTTTACTCACGAGCAGATGTAGCTTTCGCAGCTGGTGCGAGGGGCCATTGCCTTAAGCTTATGGCTGGAAAACTTCTAAAAAATAATATAATTTGCACCTAATAGCACCCAAGGGTGTAGCCTAGTGGTCTATGAAGTGGGTTAAGAATCGTGAGGTCTCAGGTTCAAATTCCAGCGGAGACAAAAATACTAGGTGTTTCTTCCCATTTGTCCAAGCCTTGATGGACAGAGTTACCCGGTACCTGTGCTGGTGGGAGGTAGTAGGTACCCCGTGGAATTAGTTGATGTGCGCACAAACTGGCCCAGACACCACAGTTATAGAAAAAATAGTCAAAAAAGTTATGGGTGTATTGGTGACCTGCACTCATTGACTTAAAATCATGGATAGGTCAGCTTAAATAAAGTTTGCATCACTAAATTCAACTAAAAGATGGAGCAAGTCTTGATAAAGGAAACATCGCCGAGAAAAATATAGACTTTCACTAGATGACCATGAGCCCATGAGAAAGAAGCTGTGGATTTTCTTGTGCTCTCGTTAGGCTTTTTTAAGTTGCTACGATAATTTATATGCCAGTTGTCTGGCATCAAGTAATTACTGGATGCTAGAGAATTTTGGGTTTTACTCTTGTATTTTGTGCTAGCAGAAGATTGGAAATATATCCTTTGTGCTTCATATTATTAAAGATTCAAATCAGACGGCTGTTACATGCCTCTCAATAAGGCCCTACTATTATCTTTACCCATTTCTACTCATGGTTGTTGTGGTGAAATCTACTTTTACTGTTTCACTGCAATCAAAGTTGTGTGCTTCTCAAACTGAATGAGAAGGGGGGAAACAGGTTTCTTACTTAACTAGACTTCTGCATGTATGTGTCATTTGAAGGGAGTTTCTACCTTTTCAGAATACCTGTTTTTCATTTTTTCATTCCTCTGCAGATTAAGAAGAAGCTTCCCAAAATTAATCGCACTCTGGCTAAAGAACTTCTTGAGAATGAAGAGGCTGAGAATATGGAGGATGTTGATGGCGTTGATGCGAAGAAGATATCAAAGAAGAAGAAAGGACTGACCGCTGACATTCTGAAAGATGAACGTTTTGGTGGGATGTTTGCTAATAAGGTATACAAAGTCTTTACTATGACTTATGCACTTCCTAGTGTTGAAGAACCAGTCCGAAATATCATCAGATTAAGTTGGCGAAAAATTAATTACATGTGCTTGAATTGAAAATTTCTTAGAAAGCCGGTCAAGCATTCTCAACAAGAGAAGTGTGCTTAGTACTTTTTAGATGTTGTCCCTGATAAATATATTTTTAAGCAATTGCTTTTATATTTACATACTCCTCTACTAGTTAAAATGCATTCTTTAAACAGATCCCAATACCCTTAACTTTTTGATGTATTTTGGTTTTTCAACAGGACTTTGAAATTGATGAATTTTCTCATGAGTATCGGGCACTGCACCCTATGCCTTCCACAAAGCAACCGTCTTTAGTGGAGGAACATTTTGAGCCTGTGATGGACGGTGAGGAACCTAGTGATTCTGATGCGTCTGCAGCAACACAATCATCAGAAGATGAACAAGAAAATGAAAAAAGTTCTAGAAGAAAGTCCAAAGTTCCAAGGTAAGAAGTCAATGAATGCACTCTTAATTCATGCCACATTTAGACTACAACTTGTTATGCACCATGCTGTAAGTGAAGTTCAAGGAATAGCAGTTGGTTGTCTCCTGATAATGGGCATGTTTAACCTCTAATGTTTCTTACATAGACAAGTTTTGCATGGGTTTATACAAATTTTGTGGATTGAATGTACCTTTTTCTTTTGGGGATTGCAACAGTAATGTGGAAAAAACTTTCTTATGAGACCAGAACATATCCTGAAACCTTTAATTGCTGCTTTAGAAAAATTAAAATAGCTGTATGTCTCACTATCCTTTAAAATTTCAGAATGTATGAAGTCAAGGATGAGAGGCATGCAGAAGCATTCTGGAACGATGTTTCACTTGCGAAGGAGGATGCTCTTCCACTAGGTGAACGGGTTGCAGCCTTGTCAGATGACCGAACTTCTCATGGTATGAACAATATCAAGGTGGGACCCGGAGGTTCAAGAGAAGTTTCCTTTATTTCCAGAAGCTCAGCAAAGTATGTGGAAGATGAAGAAGACAAGGGAGCACGAACTGAAAGGAGAAGAGGGATCCAGTCCTTGAAACTGAAGCCTGAGAGATCAGGTTTTCGGGGTTCGGGTTCTCGAGGCCGAGGGAGAGGAAGAGGTCGTGGAATGGGCAGAGGAAGAGGGCGACGATAAATTTTTCATACATATTAACACCAACTTTTGTGTCAAAGTAAGGAACTATTATTCCTTAAACTTGTTTGATGTCTTACTTATATAATTAATGTAGAATGAGCAGAGGAAGGGGTAGACACGACATGTTTATGTTTCATGCTGCAAATCTACGCGATTTCATACACCAGTGCAAATATGAGTCAAGAAAGCAATGAGTTCTCAGATAATTTACCTGTCTTTTGCAGTCATTTACTTGACATGTAACTGAGAGTTGTGGCTTCTTTCTGCCACAGCCTAATAATCACACTTCTAATAGATGTTCTCTGGATACCTAAAATTTTGGCCATGAAAATGATCTGATTGCAACCTAGTGTAGTTATCCTTGCACCTTTTGGTACTACCTATACACTTTTGCTAGTACTAATCATTTAACATGATTCATCATTGTCGCTGCCCTTAGCATTAACCAATCAATGCATTCAATATGTTCTGCCTAAATGTCCAAAGATTCATGTTAACTAGTGATTGATAAAATACGACACTCTTGTACTGGTGCTAACATGTTTAGCTCTTTTTGTAATTTTGCATCTTCCTGGCAATGATATTAACTTCGTTAAAAAATGTGATTAATAAAATATTTCTTGCTGTTGGTCCTTGATTGGATTTGCAGATCATGTGCATTAAAGCTGACATTTTAGTTAGTCCACTAGTTCCTTGTGCTTTTTTCTCTATTCAATCCTTCAAACACCTCCTTAAGTGAACCTGCCACTTGATTACTGCTGAAAATATTGTTTACAATTATTGTTCATAAAGATGAAGGTTCATATCTTGATGAGGTTTGGTATCACTATAAACAGAAGTGGTCAAATAAGAAATGTGCAAAGTTGAGATTTGCTGTTGGAAATTATTTACACTCTGCATATGTTCAGTGTCCTTCACTCTTTCTTGTCTACTTGGCAGAGGCTATCAGGAGCATCATTATTTATTATTTGCAAATTGCAATGCATCCAAAGAGCTCTTTCTCCAGAAGAAGTAGTCAAAGTAAGGAAGCTACCTGTTCTACCTTTAAATGTGTTGATGAACAGCGACGTGATTTTTTTTCCGTTGAACTTAACTATATTTCACCAACATTAAAGTAATATCCTTAAAAGCAGAAATTCTGAACTGATTAATAGCTTGCTATATCTTGTTTGTGGCAACACATCTGTAATTCAACTGAAGTATGGTTATCTTAGGTCATGGCATTTGACTATGAAAGGCACAACTCAAGAAATGCATACGCGCTATACAGATGATGTTCTTCTGACATTTTCTTTTATAATATAGCAGGCTTTAAGCCCAATTCAGTATCAGCTATCTAAAATTTAGCTTTAGTTTTTTGTGATAAAGTCATCCTCTTCAAGTTCTTTCGCATGAGTTGTTGAAAAGTGGATGGGTTTCAATGCCCAGTCTAGCCAAGAAGTGCCTCCAGAACCTACAAGCACACCTTGTGTTATAGTGCAGTGAAGCAGGGCAAAATGTAAAATAGAAAGCGCCTTATCTATAAAAAGATTGAAATATTGTTTTGTAAAAAGGAATTCTTTTTGTAGTTTTGGAACAAGGAATGGTTTAAGTGCTGTAACTGCTGCTTTTATATTGGATCGTATCTCGTACTTTTTCCCTGACCTCCTTCGGAGGTGTGTCATGTGTCACAAAACCTGCACTGCTGCGTACAGTGAAGATCGAGAACATAACCATGCATCTTGAATCATCGATCTCGTTATGTCCCATTCCCTTTTGATCTATTTTTACTTTTAACTTCATTCATGTCTCCGTCTGGTGGAATACTATCTAGGGCTGTGGCTCTATAAATTTAACTCTGTAAAATGCTTGCATTTGTACTAGCTGCCAGTTTTCTGCTTTGAGTTATTTGAGACTGGCTTACTTACTATCAAGATGCTACCATGGTCAATCGACAGCTCCCAAGCCCCTCAATTCATTTTTTAGCCTTATCATTTATGTTTAGGTTTTGCATCACAATTGTGTTTGAAAATTTAAAAATCCGAGTATGAAAATTCAAGTACAATGAACATAGGAATCTTTTCTCCGATGGTTTAGAAGTAATGTAATTGTTCTAAAGTTACTTGCAGTTAACACGTAACTTGTTTAACTAGACTTCATAAAAAAAAACTTGTTTAACTATATTTTGTGATAATTTGTTTGTTGTCCTCCTTTTTCTCTTATTGTGTGTGGCCAATCAGGTACAGGTGTGTGGGACATTCTACAGAGAAAATTGATAATTCTTTTTTCTGATCCAGGTACTTAATCTGGAGGCCATTGAAAAAAAGTTTACGCTGGAGGATTATGGGTTGTAGCGCATACATCGGACTAGGGCTACTTGATGATTTGATTGGCTGGTACAAGACAGTGCGTCTCGGATCTATATGTTTTGATTATGTGGTGCTTGCATCAAAATTTTGTTTGTAGATATAAGATAGAATATCCTGTAGGAAAATGTAGTAATGCCTTTGCTCATCCGTGCACTGCTCTACGTGTGAGGAAAATTATTGTAAGTCTCAATGTTTAAGTTGGAGTGGAGGCCTCCTGTCTACTTATAGATGCATGTTGCCTTTTGATGCCAAGGCATTTCTGAACTAGGGAAAGAGTTCAATGTTTTATACTTGTGCTATATTGAAATTGTAAAAGGGTGGAAAAAAGAGAACCCTCTAGATGCTATACTACATTTGTGGTAGCTTTTATTTTGTCATCTTCATCTTGCTTAAGTAACTTGTAGCTGCACAGATATGACCATTATTTATAGATTGTCACTGTCCTTTTTGTGTAATGCTTAGGACTGTCATCAGGCCGAGTTTCAGCCGAGGCGGAGCCAGAATTTGAAGCTTATGGGTCAAGATTTAACTTCTTTTAAATTACTAACTTAATAATTGGTGCATATTCAATGAATTTCTTAACACAAATATAAAGTTTGGACCAAAGCTACTGATTCGGCCGAACCCGTAGGCGAAGGGCTGGCTCCACCTCTGGTGTCATGTAGCGCGTTTGAGTTCTTTCTCCCAATCGAATGCAATATCATAGTTTTCTTCTTTCTTTTAGTCTCATTTTGAGGGTCGGTCTGGCTAACTAAGAGATCCTTGATTAGATATAGGGAGAAGCCTTAGCTCTTATTATTTTGTTTATTTATTTGCTTAGGATATAGACTTTATAAAATGCACTAGAGAATCATAAGAATTATGAACTTCATAAGAAGTTTAGTTTTTTAGCATCACATAATCTAATTGCAACTTTTGCATGATCGGATGTAACTTTATATGAATTACTAATAAGAATTATTAGATTGAATAGACTACATTAATTATGTCCAACAATAAGGTGTAAGAGTATTCCTCTACATATCCAGACCTTGAGTATATCGATAAACACACAAGGGGAGAGGGGCTAAATTGGATGTCCTAGAATATGAAATGACACTAATGTTTATGCTAATTCTTTGAAAGCAAAACAACAGTGCTAGTTGTATTTTCGTTAACATTTAACATTTTTCTCTATTTTCTTGGACGTAATGGTACCTCCCTGGCCCCTTTTATTTATCGTTTAAGGTTTGACGCATTTATTACAAAAATCATTTACTACCATTGAATTGTAAAGAGTATTTGATTAAATTACCCCCATCTATTAATGATAACTAGTATCATTAATAGATACTAGTATCTATTCTTATAACTTTTTATAAGAAAATATATATTGGGAAAGACGGTAGATACAAAAGAATATGGAAATGTTATTTTTTGTTGGAACATATAAATGTAATGGATATTCGTATAATAAATTAATAAGGAAACACAATAAAGAAACATACAGTTATTTCCTAAAGTCCAAAAATGTTCTTATAGCCTCAAAACTAACCATTATATTCTTCCATGGCGTGTGTGTTCTGGATTGTCCCTGTAAATATGTTTTCTGAAAATCTTCACCAATTAAAAAATCGTAAAGAAGTTAGGGCCAAGCAAAGCATTAAAAAGAAGATGAACTCACTCTATAAACATGCTATGACTAAAAGGAGGGAAAGGTAATGTCATTGACCTCTATGTTAGAGTAAGTGGGCGAGTGACTAATGCATGGTACTTTTGAGTTGAAGCTTGAGGGTGGGATGTTATGATAAGGTGCTCAATCCACTTTAATTATTCTTGGCATGGTATATCAAGGAGGTTGTTTGATGAACGGTTGTCCCTAGGTGCAGTGTAGTTCAAATGCTCGAGGACGAGCAATTGTCTAAGTGTGGGGTGTTGATGTTAGGCTAGAAACTCGTGTTTTGGCCGTGGTATTACATTCCAATGATTGCATTTTTATGTGCGTTTGAGCTCAAATAATAGTGAATTACACTTAGTACGTGTTTTATGCAAGAAGCGATTTGGAGCTCAAAAGTTAATTTGGAGCTAAATTGATCGATTTGGAGCTTTAAAGTCTGAGTAAAAGCCCAATGCATTAAGCCGGGATCGTGTTTGGAGGTCGTGTACCAAGTCTGGATGTTAAAAGAGAACGAAAAAAGTTCACTCTCAGAAAATTGCTCTACTGCGCCGCATGGGGCGCCGCAACAGTGTAAAGTTGAGCTTGAATCGAAAATATGAGGTTGCAGATAAAATGCACTACTGCGCCGCATGGTGCGGCGCAGCCTGCGGCGCGGCTGTGCAAATTCTACAGAGCTAGTCCTAGTTCGCGCAGGAAAGGTTTTTTTCGTCTGGGCCCGACCCTACTTGGTATAAATACATGTAAAAACGCCATTTTGAAGACTTTTGACATATCTTAGACCTAGGGAGATTATTGCGGAAGGGAGAAAATGTTTGGAGAAATTTCCGGAGGAGATTGGCATCAAATTCTTCATTCCTTCATCTTTGCTTTGTAATTTAATTATGCAATTTATTTGGGAAATTATGAACAAGATTATGAGTAGCTAAATATTTAGTCTAGGGTTTTGATGGAACCTATTGAAGGATGAACTTCTTGTTATGTTAATATAGTTTGCCTGGTTTAATCTCTATTTGTTCAACTATGTTCTTGTTGTAGTTAATTGATAGGATCCTCAATTAGCTGTGCCTATTTAGTGTGCATAACTCGGGAGAGAGTGCATATTTAGGTAGTTGTTGAACAACATCACTCCTAAAGTATAAGAGAGATCTATAACTGCGGGTTTAAATGCGGGATTAGGGATAACGAAGCCTTGGGTGCAATCTAAAGTGAGCTGTAATAAACAAAGCCAGCCAACGTAACTCGGAAAAGTGCGTCTAGTAAATTATCGTGATTACTCGGGAGATATTTACGGTAATAAGAGTGCTCATGATTGATAGAGACGATTAGGTGAATCTATGTGAAATATAACCAGAAAGGATTCCATCAATAGGGGAAATCACCACCTTAGATCCTTCTCTTAATTGTTTACAACTTAATCATAGTTAGTCTTTACTTACATAATTGTAGTTCGTCATAGTTAGTAAAAATATCCTCAATTGTTATTCAAAACGTTTGGGAAGTTGATTACGTAGAATTTAGTAAGTCTGATAAGAGTAATTGGTAGGTTAATTCCTTGTGGGTTCGATTCTGGGCGAAATACTCAGATTATATTTGCAATGTCCGCGTATCCTTTTTATAATACATAGTTGGGCGTGATCATAGCCCAAGCTGCAAAAACTTACTGTTATGTTGGAAAACCCAAATAATAGCTCTAGACCATCGAGTAACGTTTACAATAGAGTTGTCATTAGGAGAATCATTGATAATCAAACCTCCCTGTAAATGATAAAATTAAAATAAAAAATATAATCACAAATAAAACATAAGAATAAATTTTATAAACTTATTGTATCTTTCCTATCAAAACAGAAAGTATGGCTCAACGATAGCAGATAATTAGTGGTCCGCCATGAAATTAATCTAATTTTAGATATCTTGATACTTTATTGGTCTGCCTGAACACTATGCAAGTTCATGGAATATAAGAGTGAATATAAAAATATTAATTGTTTCTAAACTATTGAAAATAATATGGATGTAATATATAAACAACATTATAGTAGCTCTTGCAACACCAAACACCAGAGAAGCCAAAGTAACTTTACCTCCATATCTATTCGACAAAATTGACAGAGTAAAGGAGTCAAAAATCCAGTTTAATTGGGTAATTTTTATCAGAAAAATATCTCTTGGACGTGAACAGAAAACTAACCTTTTGATACTGAAAGTTTCTGTAAGCGGTCTATATGGAGCTATATATCTGCCAAGGAAACCACGTGAATACACAAATAACTTCCATAAAAATCCATTCAAACTGATAAAAGAACACTAAAAGACGCCCTTTAATTCCATCAGCAAGGTCAAATGTTTCAATTTAAATATCATTAGCCTCTTCTCATGCAATATAAATTCCACCAATTTTATTTATTACCACAACACCAAGAGTGTAGCGTATTGGTCAATGAAGTGTCAGGTTCAAATCCCAGTAGAGACATTATTAGGTTATTTCTTCCTATGTACATCTTGATTCTTGTCCCTTCCACATGCAGATATGCAGAATATTATTACCGGAAGTAACAAACAAATCTAGCAAAAGTAAATTGAAAATACTTTTTTGATATTCTAAAGAGTTGCAGCAACAAATGGTAAGTTAATGCTAAATCTATATGTAAAGCAAATTCATTATATTGAAGGGCCTAAGAAGCTTCGTTTCAAACATACACGACTCAGTGAAATATTATTACAGAAAGATGTACAATGATGCGTTAGAGATACATAAAGTTAATATTTAAAGCAGCTTCTTAGACAGTTGACTAATCCAGAAGAAAGAACTTTCATATAGAATGCAAGTACTGTACGAATAAGGGAAAAGCTTATTCTTTGGTAATTGTCTATGTTGTTGTAGTGATGTTTGTTCTCGGATTGATTTGGTTGTGTGTGATGTGACTTTCAACTGATTTTTTATAACTAATCAGATTTGTAGCCCTGGTACATGCTTTCAATATTCACTAATATGCATAAAGTAAGTAAAAGAATGAGGCAAAAATAACATGTTACCTTCGAATGCTATAAAACCAATTCAATTGAAAACGATATTTTCGGCTTAAATCGATTCGGGATTATCCACATTCGAACAACTCTAACTTTGAGATTCCATTTGCATCGAGTTACCTGAAATTTGTTTGATATCATGAAATTGTGTAGCCATAGTTGCAAAGCAATTTTAATCAAACTGGTATACTGGGTAGATAAAATTGGAAGTTGAAAAGGATTTGAAAATATAAAGCGCGTAAATCAATCAGCTATGGAGGTATATATAAAATAGGGAGTTTAGGTTGGAAGCCCACGTTTGGGAGCACGATCAGTTGTGGGATAAATCCTGGCTGCTTTCCTCCTTATTTTCTCACTGTTATTAATAAAAAACTAATTGCAGATTTTAATAGATAGTTGTTGATTAAAAAACAACCAACGAAGAACGTGTGAGGATTTTTTTTTTATTTATAAAAGCCAATCAAAAAAGGGGAGGAATTCTATTTTTAATAGGCAAGTGTAATAATCCTTTAAATGAATAGAATAACTGCAAAACTCAATCGTGGGAGGATTGCAAGTTTTTGAAATTTGGTAAATTTAAGTTTATTTTTCTGATTTGTAGTTTGAATTTGAAACTCCAATAATCTTGAAGAGTTGTCCTAATTTTTGACATGTGTTAAAATTGTGGGTATTCCACTTGGCAGCCTAGCATAGTTTTGCTTTGTTATTCTATATAGATAGATAGACATGTCTTTTGG